TAAATCCAACCGTAAGATTTCACTGTAATGCAATTTCAGCTAGAAACAACTAATATACTTCGCCGTTTTTATGATTCCATAATTTTATCTTCTTTGTTGCATGTAAACAATATTTAGCTTCTAGAATAGCAGATAATTCATGAATGCAAATATATGAGCCAGAAACATGTACAAGGATTCATTGTCTATTATCCGATATATATATGTCGAATTTTAGCTGTCATAAACGCTTTATGTATTCCACTGTTCAGTATATATGGGCCGATCCATATATACATGCATTCATTTAAATCTTATGCGTACAGAGTGAGAGATAGAAAAATAGATCGGAAAATTCCTTGTCTGTTCACATTATCAAAGTGTCCAAAAAGTAGGAGAATTAAGTAGGCTTATAACTCCGAAATATTTAAGTCGGAAGAATTTTAAGCCGCCAGACGAATAAAAGTTATGCTTATAAATAAGGTTACATGTGTCCAGTAAGTAGTAAGGTGAGGCAGTTAGTTAAAAGGTTTATGATCGTTGATCAACATGCTGGTACTTTATTTATCGACAAAGCAAGCTAACCAGTTGTCGCGTATTTTTAACACGGAAAAAGGAATGTCGTCAGTTTATTGTATACATATGTATGTGTTTAAGTATTTTAAAGAATAAAATTAATGGTTAAGACAATACACACACGTACAAAATCAGTGTTTAACCGGCAAAACAAAATGTTACTTATACTAGTGTTACTTGTAATTTCCTGTTACTATACAGAGCCGAATTGCTCTACCTCTGTTGACGGATTGGCTCCTATACCCATTGCACAACAAAGTCTATCGACCCCAGGGGCTTAGTGGATAGTGCTCTGGAGTTTGAAGCGATGGGTACCAGGCTTGAGCCTCAGTGGGAACAATATTACTCACTAGGGTGAAGGCACATTCAGCTGGTGAGTCCCGCATAGGGTGAAACGCGCGTCCCAGTTTTCTCTGCTAGTCACCAAGATTAATACAAAATGGTATCTATAGTTAGTGGTTTTGCTTTGCATAAGTTAGAAGCCTGAAGAATAGGCTTTATCCAGGGACATCGATGCCTAGTGGATAATTTTGATTACTTTAGTTATCAGTCTTTAAGAAGCAAACATTTAAAATAAACTTGGTTGTGTTGTGTTCCCCAAGATGCGTTGTTTAATCGCAAAGTACATTTGTGATCATTATTTATACGATTAGTCTTTCACTTTGTTCAACTATTTTCCATCCCATTGGACAGTCAACCGTGGTCTATATTTGACACTCTTCGGCAGAACATGCTGACGTAGGCACTTATGGAGAAAGAATAGTTGTTCGTTTGCCTCTTGAAGAAGTCCACTCATCTTAGAACAATGAGAAGCATGTTACGCTAGTATGATTTTGAAATGGTGGAGAATATTTGTAGCTCAGGTGAATGATCTTGGTCTTATTGTGTTAACATTCAAAATAAATCAAAGATAAAGACTTCAAGGATTTTGATTCAAAGTGTCTTCCTCAATTAGGTTTAATCTTTGTGATTACTGAAAGTGTCTTGGTGTTTGTCGCTCATTCACAGCCTACTATAGGGTCAGATGCATACAGTGTGAAGGACTTGACTTAGTCATAAAAAGATAGGACGATCACTTATGAAGTCGGTGATTGTGCGTTCATGTATCACTGTAAAGTCAACAAGATGGAAGAAACTATTTTCTTTTAATTCTACATTGGTGTATATGTGTTGTGTTAGAGTTGAGACCAATATTCAGGTGAAAGTTACTGAAACGGTCTAGTTACCTTAATGTTAGACTGTTGGTTGAACTGCTTAATTTACGACATGACTTTGATACTACTGACTGACTATGATCGAATAGCTACCATCTTCAAAGCTCAATATATTGGATATCATTAGACAAAATTGCCAGATAACAGATGTATATATCTTCAGTAATAATGTAGAATGAAGCATTAAGGAATTTAGCTACTTATATGAAATGGATTTGGCCAAAATAACATAACCAAACAGTGAATATTCAATCAAAGATAATGGGAAGTTTTGTGGGTGGATAATAACTTCCTACAAGTGTATGACAGGCTGTTGTTCTTATCCCTTTTTGAACAATGAACTGCCCAGTAATTTTGTTGCATTCCATTGTTTTCAAGTAAAGTTACTAGAACTGATGCATTATGGTGAGCTTAGTTCTTCGGTCTTTCAGTTGAAAAAGTGGTCATCTAAAGTGTCTGATCCCCTACTATTCAGCTGAGTAAGTCATTATGCTGTCAAACACCAAAACTCATCAGTAAAAGTCCAAAAACTGTTGAGTCATATTATTCGTATGAGCAGAGGTTTAGGTCTTTCAATGTATTTATACTTAAACAGCATTCTGATTCTTTTTCTTCTAATATTTTTGGAGGCATTACAAAGATGTATGTATTAAACAACTCTAAATTTTAGAAAATCAGTATTCATTAGTCAGCTTATTTGCTGAGTAATTCATTTTATTAATAGTTTGAAATTTATTTTTACGCCGAAATACTCCATAATGGTTTTTATCGATACTTATCACGCCTTGGTAATAGGTTTTCGCTGTCATTTGTTTAGATACGCTACTTATTATTTTTGTTACATTTGACCTTGAAACTATTTATATAAATATTAGCTATGTGGAGTGATTCTGAACTACTGTGATTCAGTCTTCTCTCCAGTCAAGAGAAGGTTTTACCGTTACCTGATGCTGAAAGGGGTGGACAAGGAGTGGTTTTATATTATCAAGTAGCTCATTTCGATAGTTATATTTTATTTATCCAAATACGACACAGAGTGTGGTGTTTTTCTATGCACTGGAGGTTTTTTCATTCAACATCCTTTACATCTCATTATCTTCACTATAGGTAACGATTGTTAAGGTCATTTGAAAAAGTGTTTAGGATGACCTTTAGTATACAAGTTTATATTTATCCACACCGTTTTTTCTCTGTATTATCACATCAGTCATACTGTTCAGTTAAATACGAATGATCTTAGTATTTTAGGCTGTCAAAATAAACCTCAATCAATCATTTCAACATGTACCCATCTAAAACTTTACATCTACTGAACCCACGAACTTCAAGTCTTGCGGCGAACGCGCCAACCATTTAGCAACTAACTCGGAGTTCAGTGGTCCACACTTTCCTACTTCTGTTAGTTCACGATATACAGCGACTGTCCAAGAAGATCTTCATCTGGCATTCTCTTCACTCCCAGTTGGTTTGCCCAACAGGTTACAGCTTATCATTAGGTCTCTGGGATATTTATCTAACAGAATGTCATCAATGAATACAATACAGTAATTTAGATAGAGATTTAAGAGGATTTTATTTATTTAAAGGTATTATTCATTACAGACTGAAGAGGCCCACACTTGGACGAAACCACTCTCCATTTCTCCCAAGTTTTCAGTGGTTCTGCAGCTGATAGTAGTTTGTGATGAATACTGCCTTGAAATAAATAAAATCCCTGTTAACCACAAACCAAACATACACATAGATATGTATATAAGTAAACCTCCAGTTGAAGAATTTACAACAGGAATGCCGACCAGATTCATAATAGTCATAAAGAATAAATGACTGCCAAGAACTGATCAATAAAAAAATAAAACAGTTTAACTTAAGTTGAGCACTATCAAAACTAAAGCTTATTTCATTCATAAACAAAACACTGTAGGTGATTAGAGGCAGTCGACTGAAAACTTTGCTTAACACTTGTTTTCTACTTGTTGGAACTTCTCTTTAGAAAGTAATTACTACCTCGAAGGAATTGGCACCTCCTGAGCAGTCCAAATATGCCTCATCCTTCGTTACATTCAGTAACGGTACTCTTAAGTCATTCGGGTTGCAATCTACCTTCCGTAGGAGTAACTTTGACAAATCGATTGGTAACGGGAGAGTAATCTAAATCCTAACTGAATCCTGTCAATCATATTTACAATTCAGCCAACAAGAAAGGAGACTTGCCACCATAATGCGCTTTGACTGAAGTTAGGTAGCTAGGTCAGAGGTAATATCTTCAACTGTGGTGCTGGATGATGTCCTATCGAATCCCTTCAGAATTTCAAATTAACCCTTCTGACGAGTGCCAACAGGCACAAAATCTTCAATAATCAAGGACTTGAAACAGTTACAGTCAATTATCTAGCATCAGTCAAAGTACACTTCAGCAGTGATTCTTGTAGGCAAGTGAATAAATCACAAATTTGATTAACAGGGTTTAATTAACATTTGGACATAAACAACGTAACAAAAATGATACAAAAAGCTTCAGTGTAGATTTCTGAAAATAAACCATAAAGAATATTGGCTTTCTTATGTGCGTAGGCATTTTATCTGACGTATACAAACATATCGTAAATATATCTTTCGAAAGTCTCTCCTTTTTCAGAGTAGAAATTCAAAAAAGTAAATGAAATCTGAAATCCAGTGATATATGGTAGATAGAAATCATAAGTTGATAAACTGTTCTACGATCGATCAGCTCACTATTAAACAAGCTGCTTTTTAGAGACCATTTGTGCAACATTGCAAATTTTGCCATAAATACATAAAGTCTACTAATAGACTATGCGGATAATCAAATATCATCCACAGCGATGACTGATAAGTTTTTTTCAGTTGTATGGAAATATTCAGAACACTCCATTGTTATTTAAGTTCTCTGGTGTGCATATAGTTGACCTAGTTCTTGAAGAAAGTCTACTTATGATACTTGGTCATTTACTCTAAGGATATATAGCTTATGAAAACCATTGACTGACTTTCTTGGAATCCTACTGCATTCATGGCTTTTTCAACATAGACAGTTTGAAAATTAGACTTCATATACCTCTCCTTTATCTCATCTAGTTAAAAAGCGATAAGACTTACAATAACCAGAACACTAGGAAGTAATACTCGATTGAAAGTCTACTTTTCACAATTTCAAATTGATGCCGATTGGTTTAATCTAATTCATATTTTCATCTTTTCATTTTATAGTTAACTATGATGATTCTGAAAATAATGTGAAATCACCTACACAGAAACAATATGAAGATGATCTACTAGCTGAAAATTTGCCAAGAATCGATACAACCCGACTGGCGAACGATCCATTTCTTGGTACGGTAGCTGGTCGGCTGGCTCAAGAAATACACGATGAATTTTTAGTCTGTAAAATATGCTTTGATAGTTATACAAATCCAAAATGTTTAGCATGTTTGCATACATTCTGTGCAAAATGTATTGAAAAGCATATATCAGCTGAAGTCACATATAATAAGTACACAGACTATCGAGATTTCACCTGTCCACTATGCCGTAAGCGTACACAACTTCCATTAGGTGGTGTCAAACGTCTTCCAGATAACTTTTTAATTTCTGGATTAACTGATTTAGTGTTAAGACAGAGAGCATCATCAAATGGTTCTTCTACAGCTACAATCATTGGTAGTCCAACCACCCATCGAGTTAACGATACAACCGACAGAAGACAAGTGACAGGCAATGTAAATGAGAGTGATGATTCTTTACACCAGTTACCAAATCTAGAAAGGAAATCAATACGTTATGGTGAATGTGAGATATGCTCACAAGTGAGTCGAACAGATAGAGGTCATTCAAGTGAACCAGTAAATAAAGTTACCTCATCAGAAAACATTGGTACTGCCAATACTACTACTAATAATAATTATAATAGTAGTAATCAACAGCGTGCTAGTTCAGCTAGTTTGAATAATAGTTCATCAAAAGCAACATCAAAATGTTTAGATTGTAATAAACTTCTATGCGATGAATGTGTTCAACGACATCGAAATACAAAAGTGACTAAAGATCATGCTACATTTGAATTACAGTCACATAATGACATTGAATGCAATGATCATCCAGGTGAAACTGTACGATTTTATTGCGAAGCTTGTTCAACGTGTATATGCGTATTGTGCACATTTAATGCTCATCGTGAACATGAAGTAACTAGTTTTGGTGAAGCTATTACAAAATTACGACATGAATTAAGCTGTAATTTAGATACAACATGTCAACGTATTGGTAAAGTTCAATCACAACTGCATGATGTACGTGAAGCTGCCAATGTGGTACACAGGATTGAACAAAGAATTCATGATACTGCAGAACATTTTATCGAGGAGGTTAGTTGATAGTTTATTTTGAATACAATTACTTGTTTACCTATACCATAGTATTTTTCGTATAACATGTACATATAGTAAGTGTGTCACATCCACCTTTGAAAGAGATATTAGAGGAGAAATATATTCTCTGACTCATAAGACCAAATATTTACTTATAAGTAGTTGGTTACCTAAATCAAAGCATAATGAAAGACCCCGGAAATGGTTTCAGCACATGTACCTGAAACTAACTCAGAAATTCAACTATGCTATTTGTAAATTGGGTGTTTGATAAGTGCTATTCAAATCCTGGAGGCAGTAAATATGTTTGATCTCCTATGAGTTGAAACAGTTGTGAAATCGATGAAAGTAGCATCTTTAAAATTTCTACTAGAAAGTCTACTACTAAGCGTTATTCTACTAAGCACATATATGTAAATTACCTCATGAAGTTTAATCGTTAATTAAGACGACACTGAAAAATATTTGTTGCCACTCAGTGACCGATGATTTTGGTAAATAGAAAATGCACATAACCACCCCCTACTTTCATGTATATTGGATTCAGCATTCATCCTTTCATTACTTCTTGTTTACTTAACATCTTGATGAAAGTTTGATAGAGGTGGTTTACACTACTGTTTCAACCATACCCTTCAACACATACAAAATAACCCGACTCAATAACTAACTATAAATTATTTATTGGTAGTTGTAATTTCCCAATGTTATACTGAATCAAACTGATCAACCTCTGCTCCAGAATAACGTCAGGAAATTACAAATATGAGTGAATATTAACATGACACCGGGTGTACAAAAGATGGCTCTCATGCACCAGTGACCTAATAGATAACGATTTGGCGTTTGAAGCTATGGGTACTGGGTGTGAATCTCAGTAGGAACAATATCACTCACTGGGGTGCAGGTACATTCAGGTAACGGGTCCCAAACAGAACGAAAAGCGTGTCTTCTATTTCATTACTACCCACCACCAAGCAGATTAGCCATAGGTTAGTTTACTGCTGGAATACAATCTTCTATAGAAAAAAAACCGGACTGAGTGAATGACACTGAAATGTCAACCTACGAGTTAATGAAATAACTCATTACCTTTTTATATGGACTGGAAAAGTACTTTTTCATAAAATTAAGAAATCTAATTGGTAAATTCATTAGTCCTTTGAACAAACTTTAGTGTCCCTTAAGCCATTGAACTGAATCATTGAAGATTGAATTCATCAACCATTTAAACTTTTGACTGGAATAAATCGTACTTACTGCCCATAAAAAGAATAATATTTACCACAGTCTTGATTCATCACTTCCACAATCTTCAGATAAGCTAGTCAGCACAAATGACTAAGTATTTTGAATAAAAAGACGCCTATTGTATCCGGTATAAATCAGTAGAAATGTTAATGATGAATCGTGGCTAGCAGTGGAATCCAGGATGCGCATTTCGTCCTATTTGGGACTCGTCAGCTGGATGTACCTGCCTCCCAGTGAGTGATGTTGTTCCCAGCGGGATTCCAGCTGACGAGTCCCAAATAGGAAGAAATCCGCATCCTGGATTCCATTGCTAGCCACGATCCATCATTAACATAATTAGAAAGCAGGCAATATCGAGGCATTCACACAGGAGCCCATATACCAATGCAAACCGATCAATTCGGTCCAATCAACGACGGTATGATATAAAAACAGCTATACTAACCAATAGAAATGTTTCAAGTTTGCAGATACAAGAAATTAGAATAAGACTGTAACACTATTTTGTAGGCTACCGACTCTCTTAGGTTCACATATAGGAGAAGCTTCAGCCAATATAGATATTCGTGATATCAGGACTCAAGATGCAGAAAAGTAACTTTTACTCCAATTAGTTCAAAAGCAGTGAGTACAATAGTTCATAATAACCAACGGCATTTTACCTTCAATGCTGAGTCTCCATATTTGTTGATCTGCTATTTTGAAGCCTGAAAATGAAGGGATGCGAATATGATTAGCATTATGGATAGGAAATGTTTGGTTATGTTACAGGACATTAAAGTAAGAATAATGTGGCCTTAAGTAGGTTTCTCCATTAAATTTAACTTTAGGGAAAAAACTTGGGCATTATGGCAGAAATGTAATTCTGTTTTAGCTGATTTATTAGATGCATCATAAAGTGTAATAGTATTATTTACTGGACTACATAAACCAGTAAATACTGCCAATTCACTATGATATATCTAATAAATCAACTATAAGTGGAATTCCATCAACTTTACTTAATTACATGATTTGATCTATATCAGTAAAAATTAAGCCATTCGTAGTGGCATGTAAATCAGTTAAAAATAGAATTAAAAGTCAATCAGTTTCGAAATACTACAGTTTACTTTGTGGCTAGTAGAGGAATCTACCACGAGCGTTTCGTCCTATTAAGGACACTTCAGCTTGGAGTAATTGAACCCGCATTGAGTGTTGTTGTTCCCAATGTCACTCACACCCTCAGTACATATCAGTTCAAACGCCAGTACGTTATCCACTAGGCCACTGGGGTATGATAATCATCAGTTGTACGACAAGTATTAGTTTTGTTGGTTGTTACTTGTAATTTCTAGTTGCTATACAGGGCCAAATCACTTGACCTCTAGTGTTGGTAGATGGGCTCCTATGCAAATGTCTCGGTACTGCGGGATATTCATGATGTTTTGTTTATCTTGGTGACTGGCAGAGGAATACAAGATGCACGTTTTGTTCCATTTGGGACTCGTCATCTGGATGTACCTGCACCCCCATTGAGTGTTGTTGTTCCCAATGTCACTCGAACTCAGTAACCATTGCTTCAAACGCCAGAACGTTATCCACTAGGCTAATCAGGCAGGAAAGCTACCTCTTGTACTACAGCTATCAACTGGATCGAAATACTTGATCTCTTTTGGCAGATTGACTCCTACGTCGATGCCTCGATTCAGTATAACAAGGGGAGATTCAAAGTATCAATAGATAAATTCCAAGACAGTTTATTTGACAGATTGAAATCAACTGATGGATTGTCAGGAACAAAACAATGTGAAACAGACGTTTTGTACCCGTTCAAAGTTTTCTGGTTGTGTACAAACACGGCAAACTGCATATAGCTAATAAAAATAGTGATGATAAGAAAAATTATAGGACTATGCTAGTGAAGAAACAAATCTCAGAATTCAAAGTATTTTCAAACTTGGCTAACATTATAGTTACATAATAGTTATCAGCTGATAGAAGTCGGTCAACAAAGTATAAACAAAATAACTTGATGAAGAGACTAAGGAATAAACAGAGTTTAAAATTGGTAAGTGCTCAACCAACTATCAGTACTTCACTTTTCAGAGTAGATCATAGGGTTGTAACTATCATCTGTTTTTATTCCACCCTTTTGAGTTGTGCGTAAAAGATGAACTTGAACTCCACTACTGAAGATCTTCTGTAATGCTAAAAGTTGTTTTAAATAATTTGGTTACGTATACCGTGTAACTACTGTTAACTAGATAAGAAGGTCATTTTACTGTTCATTCTACTGATTTATGTCCTAAGCACAGAGCTGGATGTTCTGTCTCATCTTTAGAATTGCTTATTCAAATATTTCTTCAGTGAATACAATCAAGTTATCAGTTGTGTTTACTAGCTCTGTCAATGTATGCTCAGTCTGAAAGGGGATTGATGGTCACCATACAAGTTTCTTTTCAGTCTCACGAATTGTCAAACTATACAATTTTCGAAATTTTATGTGTTTAAAAGTGTTTACAAGTGAATAACTACTTTGTTGACCAGTTTTGTTTCATTCAACATCCTCTCGTGAATCATATTCCAATCATAAATCAATATAAAGACTAAATTTTCTTTTCCTTCTGCAAAAAATATGCAATCAAATTGGTTTTGTTTTTGTTAGAACTAAACATTTCATGATGTTAACTTTGGATACAAGAACAAACTTTTCACTCATTCATTGACTATCGAAACAAAACTAACCTGTATTGCGTATTTAGGTGTATGTGTATATATCCTATACGTATAACACAAATGTTCGTCAACTATCCAGTGTGCACAGTATGACTTTGATCTAAGATAAGCACTTTCTACTGTTTCAAAAGAATTTTTTTTGAATTAGTTCACTTTCGAAGAGAATAAGAAAAATAGGGAATTTGACGGGAATAAAATGCCTATTTATTCCTATATTGTTTTGATGAATCACTAATAAAAATGTGAATTGATGTAATAAAATTAAACAGACCAATCTGTACACCATAGTGACCTTGGTTTTACATTTGAAACTTATGAAGATAAACAATGAAGCTTTCCCAATCTAATCTTCTATACTAAGTATCATTGTTCAATATTAAGAACCTAAGTTCTTAGGAGGATTTTTACTTAATTTTTACAATTAGTATCAGGAGTCGAAATATACTACTGAACGATATGAGCAGTTAAAAAGTGATCATAGTGATCTAAGCACCGGATGATCGTTTCGAAGATGAGTCAAACTGTTCAAACCAAGTGGACTTAGCTACTTCTTAAACTTTTCTTATCATAGATGATCATTTTTGATTATGGCTAGTTGAGTAGCTTCCCAAATGGTAAACTTTTGAAAAATTGTTGTTATCCAGTGTCAAACTAGACTGAGTTATTTATAACTAACCTGTTAGTTATTCATACCTTTCTTCGGTAATCTCTTTCATGCACCAGAAAATATTTCACTTATATCTCACTTCCATCATTAGATGACTGATGGAACCATTCAGTGAAAACAGTTTATTACTTTTTGAATTCAGGTAATATTGAATGATACCAACGAATATAAGTAGTATATTTGTGTCCATCAAAAGTCTTTAGGTGCATATTTTACAATGCATATGGATTTCATTTTCAACAAATGATAGCATACATTAAGCTAAACTATCAAACAGGTTATCAAGACAAACTGAAAAGTATTCTATTGAAAGCTACAAGTCAAGAAATCAATCACATGTTTGGTTGTACTACATATTAAA